GCACTTAACGATTCCGTAACTCCTAACGGCTAGCTAACAGTAAAGGCAACTCTCTGTTCTTCATTTCTGCACTTCATTTCCTTTGTTCTTCGTGACTGTTAGCAATCCTTGAGCTCCATTCTTCTGCTCTGATACTCCCCCACAAGTTGGCGAGTGCATATCCAAAACTCCCAACTTGTCAAGCAAGAACTTCAAACGATAGCGTGTCATTCCCTTTGTAAACAGGTCTGCAAGTTGATCATCTGTTCTTACAAAATCCAATTTTATCAAACCAGATTTCAATCTCTCCCTCGTAATGTGACAATCAATCTCAATGTGCTTGGTCCTTTCATGAAACACAGGGTTTTCAGCTATATGAATAGCTGACTTGTTGTCACAATAAACCTGAATTGGTAAAGGGATTTTCACATCCATCTCTGCAAGTAATCCTCTAAGCCACTGTAATTCACAAACCAAATGTGCAAGTGCCCTGTATTCAGCTTCAGAGGATGACCTGGAAACAGTTGTCTGCTTCTTAGACTTCCAGGTTATCAGATTGTCACCAATCAATGTGCAATAACCAGTAATCGATCTTCTTGTATTAGGGCAACTAGCCCAATCTGAATCTGAAAATCCACTTAACTTCAACTCAGAATCAGCTTTAAAAAGTAATCCTTGTCCTGGAGCATGCTTCAAGTACCTTAAGATCCTGTAAGCAGCTTGTAGATGCTCACTATGTGGATCCTTTTGAAATTGACACAACTGCTGTATGGCAAATGTTAGGTCTGGTCTAGTAATAGTAAGGTAGTGCAGCCTTCCTACTAACCTCTTGTAGACTTCTGGATTTGGTAAGGGTTCCCCCTGCTTAGCAACAAGTTTCAGCTTGTAATCAATTGGTGCCAGACAATCCTTTGCCTCCAAGTAACCAGTATCCTTCAGCAGTTCTATACAGTACTTCCTTTGATTGACATGAATCCCTTTGCAGTCTCTGTACACTTCCAATCCAAGGAAAAACTTCAAATCACCAAGGTCTTTTACCTTGAATTCTCTTCCCAAGAACAACTTGAGTTGTTCTATATCTCCCAAGGAGCTTCCTGCTATCAGTATGTCATCAACATACACTAGAACAACCAGAATTCTTCCCTGAACCCTCTTAACAAACATTGAATAGTCAGAGGCTGCTTGAGCAAAACCATTCTTCAGTAAGGAGCTGGCTAACTTGGCAAACCATTGCCTGCTAGCCTGTTTCAGTCCATAGAGGGATTTCTTTAGTTTCAAAACCATCCTGTTATCAGGTAGTTCCATTCTTGGTGGAGGTTTCATGTAAATTTCCTCATCAAGCTCTCCATGAAGGAAAGCATTTGATACATCCATCTGATGTATAAACCAGTCCTTGACAGCTGCTACTGCCAGTAAAACTTTCACATAATTAATCTTGGCAACTGGTGAGAATGTGTCCAGAAAATCTATGCCATAGATCTGTGTAAAGCCTTTAGCTACTAGCCTGGCTTTGAACCTTTCTATGGTCCCATCTGCTCTAAGCTTCACTTTATACACCCACCTACATCCAATGGCCTTCTTACCTGCTGGGAGATAAGCTGGTTCCCAAGTCTGATTGGCTTCAAGTGCATCAGATTCATCTTTCATAGCTTCTCTCCAACACAACTCTTTGTAAGCTTCTTCATAAGTTCTTGGCTCTACAACAGCCATAGCATTCATCACATATGTCTTGTGTGCAGGTGGTAAATTCTCAAAAGTAACATAATTGGCCATGGAGTACTTCTGAGCTGCTCCCACTTTGTAATCCTTATGCCAAACTGGAACAGTTTTATGCCTATCAGACTTTCTCAACTCAGGACCAATTCCATCTCCATCTTCAACATCAAGTTGCTCAACCAATTCATCATTAGGGTCACCCCCTTCAGAGTTCACTCCTGAAGACTCAACTACTTCATGAACTGAGGTTTGAGGCAGTGTGTCTGGGAAAGGAGAATAAGGAAAGGAAGGTGATGAAGTAGATGGTGAATAATCAGAGGAGGTGGAAGGAGGTGAAGTCTGAGTTGGTGGAAAGAATGATGGAAAGTGAGTAGAAGGTTGAGGAACATCAGGAAAAAGAGGGGCAGTAGATGGAGAAGGATCAGGTGGTTGTGAAGAAGAGGAAGTTGAGGAATTTAGAAAGGGAAATATGGTTTCATAGAAAACAACATTCCTAGAAACAAACGATTGATGTGTATCTAGATCAAGTAATTTGTAACCCTTGATTCCAGTGGGGAATCCAAGGAAGACACACTACCTGGCCCTAGGGCTGAATTTTGTTCTATCTCTCAGTAGTGTGGATTCATAGCACAAACAACCAAATACTTTAAGTAAATTCAAGTATGGTTGTTTGTGATATAACAGCTCAAAAGGTGAAACTCCATCTGTCACTGGTGAAGGCAGTCTATTGATAAGGAAAACAGCATGTAGGATGCAGTCACTCCAAAAATGTAAGGGTAGCCCTGATTGGAAACGTAGTTCCCTGGCAACATTTAGGATATGCTGGTGTTTCCTTTCAACAGGAGCATTTTGCTCAGGAGTTTCAACACAGGAGAGCTGGTGTTCAATTCCATGTGTGCTATAGAAGTCTAACATATGAAATTCATTCCCCTGATCACTTCTAATGACTTTAACAGCCTTTTCAAACTGCTGCTTTACCATAACACAAAAGGATTGAAGAAGAGAAGAAGCTTCAGACTTCTGTCTCATTAGATAAACCCAAACACTTCTTGTGTAATCATCCACAATAGACAGAAAGTAAGAATAGCCCTCATGGGACTTAACAGCAAGGGGTCCCCATATGTCAACATGGATTAATGTAAAAGAAGAAACAGCTCTACTGTCACTAATAGGAAAAGGAAGTTTCTTTTGTTTGGCCAAATGACAGGTTTGGCAATGTCTAACAGAAATCCTATTACATCTAGTAGCTTGATGTTCTCTTTCCCTACTTGGATGCCCCAGTCTCCAGTGCCAAAGGTCAATCTGATGTGGTTCAAAATTATAGGTGGTTGCAGCTTGATGAGTGTGAATGGCAGGTGAAGGTCTTGGTGTGGTGATGAGATGGTAAAGGCCTCTATCTTGTTTTGATGAACCAATCAGGTTCTTGGTTGTTTGGTCCTGAATATGACAAAAGTCAGATTCAAATAACAAAGAAATGGGCAGGTCATGGGTGAGTTTACTGATGGAGACCAGGTTGAAAGTAAAGCTAGGGACTAAGAGGACATTGTTTAGGATTAGACCATTAGGTAGTTTAACTGAACCTACATGACTCACTGCTACCTTAGAGCCAGTAGGCAGATAAACAAATTGGTTAAGGACTGGTCTAGCATCCAGAAATACAGCAAGAGAACATGCTATATGATCTGATGCTCCTATGTCTAGAATCCAAACTTGTGCTAAAGCCATTAATCCATGCTGAGCATATGAGGAAAGAACATATTTACTAGCATAGGTAGGATGTGATGGGAGGTGCTGTGAGACTGAGTAGGAAGCATGCTTGATGGAAGGTGAAGCTGGTGGTGATGGACTCATACTATCAGGTTGATGCAAGAGAAGTCTCAGCTTGTTTATCTCTTCAGTAGTGAAGTTGAGAGATCCAGAAGAGGATGATTTACTGTCATAACCAGCACTGTGCCCTGAGGAAACAGAATCACCACTCTGTGACTTAGATTGAGATACTGAACCAACAAAGGTTCCTCCCTCACCCATTCGAGCTTTCTTGTTCTTCAATATGTAGCATTCTTCCTTTAGGTGACCACTCATTTTGCAATATCGACAAAACTTGCCTTCCTTAACAGATTCAAACTTGTTCTCTTTGTTTGGGGTGGAAGTCTTGTTCTGGTCACCTTGTGCAGCCAAGGCAACAGACTGGATACCCCTGGTGCTTTGACCTTTGTCACCCTTCAGTTTCTGCTCATGTTGCAATATATCATCTACAGCAACTTCTACAGCAGGTAAAGGCTTCATCATGAGAAGCTGGGTTTGAACAACATCAAACTCAGGCCTTAACCCCTTAAGAAACTTGATAAGATAATCTGTTTCCAACTTTTGTCGATAAGCCACCACTGCAGCACACGGCCTAACTCTCACAGCAACACAATCACATTCAACAACAGGACTATACTGTTGGATCTCTTCCCACAAACCCTTAAGGGTAATATACTACTGAGTCACACTCATACTACCTTGTTTACAAGCAGCCATTTCATCTGAAAGATTAGCCAGTTTAATTGCATTAGATCTGCCAAAACGATTCTTCAATTCTTCCCAAACAACCATAGCATTCTCATGTTGTAAAACACTTCTACTGATGTCCTTATGTACTGAATTCAAAATCCAACAGAGAACCATGGTGTTGGAAGCATCCCATAAGAAAAAATCAGGATGGGTACGATCAGGCATGGGAATTGAACCATCAATAAAACCCAGCTTGTGCTTGGTCTTAAGAGCCATACGCACAGCTCGTTGCCAGGTTTGGTAGTTAGATCCATCCAAACTCTCAGCAACGATGGACTGTCCTAGATTCTCACTAGGATTAATGTAATATGGACTTCCAAAGATTAAACCCAGATGATTGTTGTTACCATTCTGCTGTTGACGACCTTCAGTGTTCGAGTTGTTGTGAACTTGGCCTCCGCCGCTACTGGTCGCAGAAGCGAAGGTGCCAAATGGAATGGGTCCTGAGCCCTGAGGTCCTGGTGGTGTTTGCAGAGGTGGATTGTTCGCCATAGAAGAAGAGAATGTGAAGAAACGGGTTAAAACCGCTCTGATACCATAAGAATAAGAAGGAGGTATAGAGAAGCTGCTAGGTTAAGCAGCTGTAGAGATTGGAGGGGAAAAACTCAGAGAAGCACCTTGCTCTCTGTTTTGTATTTATACTACTGAAGTTCAGAACAGTAAAAACGGAAATGAGTAAAACTGTAATTTGAAAGAAAAAAGTAACTGTGCCTAAACACGTGGCACTTAATGATTCCGTAACTCCTAACGGCTAGCTAACACTAAAGGCAACTCTCTGTTCTTCATTTCTTCACTTCCTTTCCTTTGTTCTTCATGACTGTTAGCAATCCTTGAGTTCCATTCTTCTGCTCTGATATTCTTCCTAGCTTCCATATTCATTCTGGGAGTTCTGGCTTCTCAAGCCATGGCACGCTCTGCCCCTCACGAGGCCGCCATGCGCCTTAGGCACGAGCAATGGATGGCTCGTTATGGGCGAGTTTACGGGAGTGCCAACGAGAAGGAGGCACGGTACCAGATATTCAAGGACAATGCAGCCCTCGTCGACTCGTTCAATGTTGCCGGGGGCAAGCCTTACAAGCTAGGTACCAACCAATTTGCGGATCTAACAAACGAGGAGTTCAGAGCAACTAGGAACAGGTTCAAGGGTCACATGTGTTCCACGCAACAAGGACCCTTCAGGTATGAGAACGTGACTGCAGTGCCGACCACCATGGATTGGAGGAAGAAGGGAGCCGTCACTCCGATCAAAGATCAAGGCCAGTGTGGAAGTTGTTGGGCATTTTCGGTGGTGGGGGCCATGGAAGGGATCACTCAACTCAGTACTGGAAAATTGGTATCCCTTTCGGAGCAAGAATTGGTTGACTGCGACACCAAAGGAGAGGACCAGGGTTGCAGCGGCGGGTTGATGGATGATGCTTTCAAATTCATCATCGCGAACAAGGGTTTGACCACTGAGGCCAATTACCCATACAGTGCTGCCGATGGATCCTGCAGTGCTAGCAAAGGAAGCAACCACGCAGCTACAATCAATGGGTATGAAGATGTACCGACCAACAGCGAATCCGCATTGCTGAAGGCGGTAGCTAGTCAACCGATTTCCGTGGCAATTGATGCAAGTGATTCCTCGTTCCAGCTCTACGAGAGCGGGATCTTCACCGGAGAATGTGGGACTGAACTTGACCATGGAGTGACCGCTGTCGGATATGGTGAGAGCGGTGGAATGAAGTACTGGTTAATCAAGAACTCCTGGGGAGCTCAATGGGGAGAAGAAGGATACATCCGAATGCAAAGAGATATTCCTGCCAAGGAAGGCATATGTGGCATTGCAATGCAAGCTTCTTACCCCCACCGCCTAAAATCAAAGCTTCTACTCAGCATGCATGCAGACAGTGGCGGAGCTGTTCAGGCAGATGGGGGGTGCGTGCAGCCCCCTTGGATGGGCAGAAAAAATTCAGGAATATGGGTCATACTCAATACTCATTAGAGTTTTGAACCACTCACCTATCAGACTAGTGCCACTTGCTTCACCATTCAGCCGGGCAGGTTCTTTGTTTTAATGTTGATGTAATTAATTTATGTAAAATTAAAAATACAACTAAAAATGCTTGTAGTTCCAACATACCCTATCATTTTATTTACGGTCTGCACACACACTCAACAACATAGATACGTTATTATTTGTCATATAATAAAATTGGTTTTGGTATAAACTAGATGGAGATATACTCTTCGAGAATAGAAAAACACTTCTCCGGTAGAATTCATATATTTGTGATCTACTATTCGATGATAGGTTGAAAAACTTACAAGGAGTTGATGAGTTAGCAAAAAATATTACAGAAACAAATAAGCATAATTTGTCTATTTGTTCTCAAGTTGACACCTATTCTGCTTTTAACAACCAGTCTAGAGAAATTATTTTCATCAATGAAATATATAAAAAACGATCTTCGGAACCGGATGAACAATATGTTGGTGACTTATATTGAACAAGATCTGTGTGATATTTAGACAACAAATGCGTTCTAAAATAATTTTAAAATATGAAATCTCGTTGTGATTCATTATAAGAGGTATGCACCAAACTATTATTCTGTAATTGTAGGAATCTTCAATATTATATTATTGACATTTTATTTTGTTAAGAGTTTATTTTTCTATTATATAGTTATTTTTTTTATTGTTGAAGAAAGACACCCCTTGCCCGATTTTCTGGCTCCGCCACTGCATGCAGAAGTACTACTTAATGCATATATTTTATGCTTGTAAATAGCTTTATGTAACTATGTATTATGTACTTCTTGTTGTTCATTGTCGTCTTCTATAAACAAAAGGGGACTATGTAAATCTATATGTCTAGTAATTAAAATCATCCTTTCTTTATTTCCGTTGCATATTTTTCATCATCTCTATTTTCTTGTTTATTCAGCGAAATTAGTATCTGTTGCATTATGACTCTCTATATTTGCATTTATATGGTCATTTTCAAAGGTATCTTTTCTTGTATGTTGTAGTCCAGTTTTGAGGACTAATTTGTTTGTTTTTATCTGCTCTTTTGGTATGACGGTGTGATTAACTGTTCTATTATATTTTCATTTTTTCGCTTGCACCACTTGTGAATCATATTACTTATTTTCTTTATGTCTATAGCCTGTGTTAATGAAAGCAGCACTCAATTTCTTCAAAAATCAAAGTTTTGAACAATCACTACAATCGGGTACGACAATTAGAATTTATTCAATCCATTACTTCCCTATTGGTATTTGAGAATCATTTTTATTATCCAGAGTACCTTTTAATGCATCTTATTAATATTATTGGCAACACTTTTATGTGTCCAAGTCTAACCGAATTCTTTTATTTATTCCTGATTTTTGGGATTTTTTTTAATTGTATTTACTTTATAAGGTAATTTGGGTATATGATTATCCTCATTTGTAATAATGTATTTTATTTAATTTTAAATATATGATATTAAATTCGATTTGCTGTGAGACTATCCTTCTTGTTGAAATACCTTTTACTGTATCTATCGAGATGTCAAATCATGGTTATTAATATTAGAACCTTCATTATTTAAATTGCATATTTACACTAAAAGAAACGGCTGGTTTAGCGACGGTTATTTTGGCCTTTAGGGACAGTCACAATCGTCGCTAAAAGCTTTTCCTGATCCGAAGATCGAAAAATTTTTTAGTCTACCAATTGTCGAAACACATTGGTGCCGTGAACAGAGTCAAAAAGAAGTCTTTCTTTATGGTGTCTTATAGAAATGTTATGATATGGCTAGATCTAAGAGTGACGGCCAGCTAACCGTCACTGACCCAGCAGTCCTTAAATTATTTAGTGACACTTTCGGTCGGCCGTCGAGAGGAACGTCAGTATATGTTCGTGACGGTTAACCGTCGGTATTTAAAACAGGCCCGCCGACACTAAATTGGGGGAAAAAAATCCAAAACTACCACTGTTTAAAAAAAATTACAAAAATACCACCCACTCCAAATCATTTCCAAAAATACCATCGTTTATATAAAACCGCGCCTCTAATGAGAGGTTTTTAATGAAATCGCGCCTCCAGGCAGCGTTTTACAATATAACCGCGCCACTAAGAGGCGTTTTTAATTTTCAGAAAAAACCGCTTCTGGAAGGCGCGGTTATAGGCTAACCCTACCACAAAACGCTTCAAGAGAGAGTGTTTAAATGTCGGCATTACAAACCGCCTCACCAAGCGGCGGTTTACAATGTCAAGACATAAAGCGTTGTCTTAAGGCGCGGTTGTAGGTCTGCATGGCAGACCTAAAACCGCCCCCCCCCCCCCCCCCCCCCCCCCCCCCCCCCCCCAAGCGGTTTTGCTGCAAAATTTGCCTATAAAAGGCTGTTTCACAGAACTCAATTCTTCACACCTCCTCCTCTTCCTTCTTAAAATTTCAGCTTTACACCTTTAAATTATTTAGTTTTTGCGATTAACGTTAATTCGTAAGTTTGTTTCGTAATTACTTTTCATTGTCCTTTGTGATTTTATGTTAGTAACTTAATTACTTTTCATTGTCCTTTGTGATTTTATGTTAGTAACTTAATTATTTTTCATTTTCATTTGTGGTTTTATGTTAGTAACTTAATTACTTTTCATTGTCCTTTGTGATGTTATGTTAGTAACTTGTATTACTTTTCATTGCAGATGGCATTCCAAAGGTTCACGCTTGGGTTGCGGTGGAATGGTTACACGGAAGAGACCGAAAAGGGTGTAAGTTACGTCGGTGACAATTTTTATAAAATTAAGGTCCGTACGAGACCGATGTTTCAAGAGCTCCATCAAATGTGCACTCAGATTACCTGCATGGATGGCACTAGAAGAGTTGATCGATTGGTGTATCGATATCCAAACACACATGACGGGTCACTATGGAATGAGGAATTCCTCCTTACCACTCAGGAGGACGTTGATGCCATGGTCCAATTTTTGACCACCAATAAAATTAAGCAAGCGGAGATGTACGTTTACACCGAGGCCGTCGAAGGCAGTGTAGGTCATTCTTGAGATGGCCAAACATCTGGTATCCACGGTGGGAGTGTATTATACGAAGATCATCCCCACCAGGATTTCCAAGACTCGAGGTGGAGGCAGGAGTATCATCATGGAACTGGAGGAAGTCATCAATCCTTCCCTTCATATGAAGAAGAAGCTAAACAGGCGGATTACAACCAACAAGCAGGCTACCAGTACCCACCCGAGTAAAACTTCTATCAAAGCGGTGATAGTTACCACAACTACCATTACAGAGCTAGTGAAGGTGAAGGTGCCTTTCATGCTGATAATCAGATAGAAGAAGAGGTCAATCCAAGTCCAGTTAGTGACCCTGATGTTGAAGAAGAGGAAGGCGAAGTTAGTGCAGACAGCTTCGATCCGCTGGAAGGTGCTGATGATTCCGGTCCAGATTCAGACGCAGATGGTGATGAGGTACCTCACGACCGTGTACCTATTCCATACTACAATCACATTCAAAATGAAGATTGGTATGTTGATGCCGACATGGACCCGCCGGATGTGCCAGTATGGGGTCCACTAACTGGCTTTACGAAGGGCCAACAATTTGCAACGAAGAATGAGGTCTGACACGCTATTTCCACTGAAGCAATGACTCGAATTTTTGAATGGCAAACAACCCATTCCGACACAAAGACGCTGATGGTTCGATGCAAAAATGAAAATGAGGGATGCAAAGCTAGGGTCCGGGCCATCAAAAGCAAGAGAGTCGGCCATTGGGTCATATCCCGTGCGGTGAACACACACACATGTGTGTCATCAATAACATCCTAAGGCCATCGACAGTTGAAATCAAGGGTGGTTGCCGCGGCTATCAAACATCTAATTGAGGAGCATCCCAACCTGAAGGTTAAAACCATCATCGCCCATGGTAAGGTACACTCCGATTATGTCACAAAAATAATGGAAAAAGATAATCGGAAGAGCTCTCGTCACACAGTCACTGTGATGACCCGAAATGCTGGCGAGTATTCGGTCGAGACTAGGCACTGGGAGGATGGGAGACGTGGGGGTCATCGCCATGAAGTCACCGTCAACTTTAGGACTAAAAAGGGGGAGTGCTCTTGTCAGAAGTATCAGGGTAGAGGGAAACCATGTTCCCATGCAATGGCTGTAATAAAGCACCGGAGCAAAGACCCTCATCATTTTGTCTGTCCGTTCTTCAACATTGACTCACAAAAGAGTAGTTATCGTACTAGTTTTCGTGCATTGCCGGATGAAGCTTACTGGCCAGTTTATGAGGGTATGGTCATCATTCCACCAATCGGTCTTAGGCGGGTAACAGGGCGCCCGCGGGTAAAAAGGAGTCCAAATGAAATGGATCATAGTGGAAGACCACAGCGAGGGCCAAGACGGTGTTCCATATGCAAAGTACCCGGTCATGATAAACGAAAATGTCCCGGACCAATTGGTCCTCAAAATTCAGGGCCCGATGTGGTGAACCCGGATAATGGCACTTAGATTGATTTCATGCGTTTGTTCCATCTTTGTGTATTAATTTCAATGGTTACTCTACTTGTATGTTGTGTGCTTAAATGACATTGGAGATTTGCACAATTAACAAACTTTTGTGCAATTTTCCATCTTTTTGAATAAAACACATCACGAACACAAACACACTACATGAAAAAACTAAAAAATAACTTCAACTAAAAACACCATTGTTCAACTTAATTTAAACAAAACATAACTTGAAATAAACACAACTTGTCACACTCATGCATTATTTCGACGATTTGCCCTCTGTTTCCTTGTGCGATGGGCGACTGGTCCACCGGGTGTAGCTGATGGTGGAACGGGTGGCAGATTCCTATTCGCCGTAGAAGGGCAATCCTCCGTGCTATGCCGCCTCGGTTCCGTGATAGGTGGCCCCTCCGTCTGCGGTCGAGGGCTATCCATGCTCATACGGTGGGGAGTGAATTGCCATTGTTGTTTCCATTGTTGTTGTGGTCGATTCCAAGGTGAGAAGTGGATTGCCATTGTTGTTGCCATTGTTGTTGTGGTCGCTGCAGAGGTGAGAAGTCTTGGTGGGGACTTGAGTATGAACCCTCGGCCCAAGTATCTTATAATATATTTATATATGTATAAATCCTCAACTTATAGTGAAATTTAAATTCTTCTCTAGGATGCATACCATATAGTCCGCTATAGGGGCACAACGAA